ATCTGTATAGTCAGACTGGCTAAAAACAATATGATTTGGTCTTTGTGGACAGAAATGATGTACATGTGTATCTGCACTTTAAGGTACAGTGTGTAGAATTTATTGATATCTAGTGTTGAAGTGTCATGTTGCAGCTGAACACCCCTCATCTCACCCTCTCCTTCCAAACATGAAAAAGAACCAGTGGTAGCTTCAGTTGTCATAAAAACTCAAAAGGTGTTTAGTTTGTCCAGTCTGGACTAATGTAAAAAACATGGTGGCCTCTGTAGAGAGGACCTCCTCCATGTAAATATAAAGTATTTAAATATAAAGGGTCTTTTCTGGGGTAAAGAAAACTACAATTCATACAATTTAGATGAAATGAACTAGTGGAAACATCATGAGGATTATTCTACATTAAATATCTAGTTCCCTTTCACCTAAATCTTACACACTGGACTTTTAATGCAGAGAAGTGAGATCTGATAACAGGAGACATTTAGTGGACAGACAAACTCAGAGCTGTGATCAGATCTCTCTGGGCAGATGATAATACCAGGTCTGAACATGGCCTCAGTGGTGCAAAGTGACCCAAACCAAAGCTCCAGCTCCAGGATTTAGTGGTAGAGAAGAATTGGCTGCCACATACTTGACTTAAGTCAAAACGAACTGAGCAAACAATCAAAATATGACAATGGAAACTTAATTTACACATTACTCTATTATCACTTCACAATACTCCAAAACATGCAACCAGGTTATTGATGCAGGCAGTGCCTGGACATTCAGTACCTGAGTCTCCTCTTAGCATCATCTTAATATTTGAGTCAAATTGAGCAATGTTATTTAACCATATTCAGCAAACAACCAATCTCAATGGAGTCTCAATGTCAAACAGGAAGACAGAAAATAAAACCCATAGTGAGGACTATTATTGATGACATCCAGGTGAAAGGTAAAGGCAAGCATCATGTCTGGGTGGAACTGAAATGAACGTTAGTGTTTCTGTGGTGTTGATGTGAGGGTCATGAATAATTCACCTGCATGTGAGGTATGGTCAAGTTTTAAACTGAATATGTTTTACATATCGTAAGACACAAATGGTTATCTGATCCAGGCCGGGGGCCTGTACAATGACGCAAGTTTAACATATGCAGGATATATTTTCGTTATCCAGTTGTAATGAACCCAACATCAGCTGTCCTGATAAAAAAATACTGAATTGAAAGTACAATCCCAGTGACATCCAAAGTGACATTTAACTAAGTGAAACTTAAACGATGATCACAGGACTAGAAAAGAAATTAAACAGTTTGCGAATTTCCATTATCTAAGCATAAGGCAAAAAATAAACTGTAAATCGACAGAGGACATTTATTAAGGTTGTTACTGAGTATTTTTAATTTTTTGTCAGATGATAAACAAATTATTATGAACATGTGATCCAGATTTGTTTTTAAGTTAAGTATTGTCAGACTGTTGTGGCAGAAGAGAAGTATAAATGTGTGATGAGCTCAGTCTGATTGAAATGTTCATTTATATCATGAGAAATATTGAAGTGTGTGAATTATTTGATAATAAAAGTTATTCAAAACGTTAATAGCTATCTAACCTTCTCTGGAGCAGGTTAGCGGTTCAGCATAAATTAGATTTATCCCTGTAAGAAGTGAACAAGCTTTGTGGAACTGAAAACCTCAGTATTAAACCTGACGTTACCTCCATAACCACAAATCCTGCTTCATAGTACATGACCCAGGTTTTAGCTTCAGAATGCAACAGTATTTTAAGGCCACTTCTCAACAATTTCTTTTCTTTCCAAACCAGATTATCTGTCATTCACTCCTACATTACAAAGTGACTGGCCGGTGTGAAATTAGCCAGTGTTTGAACACTCAGGTTCAGGTTTATCTAATGTAGTATCTAATGTAGACTGTTGCTGGGTTGAGGCAGAGGCAGCTCAGACTCTTCTCCAGGTGTTTTTTTCCTTTTGGACCCGACAGTCCAGAGGGCAGAGGCTAGTGAGGAGTGGCACAACTAATCCATAGGTATATGACCACAGGATGAACCCAGCACTAGATGAAGCAACAGCCTCAGACAGGTGTTAACAATAGATAAATGAAGGCTCAAGTCCAGAGCATGGCCCCTTCATGTTGAAAGAAGCCAGTTGACATCTTTGGGGCATCTGATTAGGAATCTTCTAGCCACCTCCCTGTACAACTATTTCAGGCACCTCCAAGTGGCAGGAAACCTTTGCATGTTACTCATGGTGGTAGCAATACAATACAAGAATACTGGAGCCAGTTAAGTACTTAAACTATTGCTGTTGGGTTAGGGGTTGGGTTGGGTTAGAAATCCACAAACCTGAGGAAACTCCTTAAAGAACCACAGAGAAACTAAGGTTCACTCTGTGTAATGACTCCAGTCTCACTTCCTTCCATTGTTCACTCTCCCGTCACTGCACTCACTACCATCAGTCAACAATCACTCACCCAGTAGATATACTGTGCACCTGCTCACACACCTCTTCCCTCTTTCATTCCTCGTGTAGCCCTCCCGTGCATTAACATTGCCTCTGTTTGTTTCAGAGACTGTAACTTTTGCTACCTTGTTCTGGTTTTTGCTTGTTTTTAGATTTTGTGGGATTCCCTGAAAGCTTTGTTTCGCCTTCCTGTGTGTGACCTCTGCCTTGACCTAAACCTCACCCATTAAAACCGAGACTGTTGATTTGAAGTTTCGCACTATTTGTGAATGTGCAGGCTCTTGGTCCAGGCATCACAGTACAAAACTACAGGCTAGTTATAAGGTCAGGCTGCAGTGAAAAGGCCAGTGACGTGTCCTGGCTGGAGTTTATCACAGTCGCATTTCAATAAACAGACTTTATTAGAAAATCAGATTTGGCTTAACTCATCAAACGTTCGGTCATCTTTATCTTTTTTTTCGTACTTTTTCCAGCTCAAATTTTTTTGCATATGTTACTTAATCTGGACAGAGCAACTCTCAAGAGGAACATTACCACAACCTTCTCCATCGTTGCCATGTTTGTTGTCAGATACTCCAGTCTGCCCCAACGTAAAGGACACATGGAAGTATGTGGGCCATGACAGTTACAGTGTTTGAAATGAGCCTGTGGAAAATATCCTATGAGGGGCATCACCACTTTTTGTGGGAACTGCTCTACTCAGGACCATAGAGCCGTGCAGAGAGTGGTTTACTATCAAGGAGGAACCAGAGACAGGTGCTACATAGACTGGGGCGTGTTGTTTAAGGACACAGTAAAATAATAAAAAGCTAGCCTGGAATCCCAGTAAGAGATATATTTGCTAAAGCCTAATCAAACAGCAACAGACCGCACAATGGTTTACAATACTCACAGACACGTCAGTGACAGGGTCTGTGGTGATTAGAGCCGACCCCAGTGTCTGGGTGTTGTCGGGACACTGACGTGATCTATGCAGCGGAATTAATGAGTTGCTTCCTGCCTCTGTCTGCTCCACCTCTCGCCTCAATAATGCGGAGTGGATGCATCTGTGCAGAGGACCTCCTTTTGTGTTGTGCATGTGTGAAAAGCAAACTGCGGGTAAACTCTGTATCTACTTCTCCAGACTTAACCAAAAGGCCATGACTGAAAACGGCTTATTTGTGCTTCTACAGCCACAAGTCTAACATATAGAGACTCAACCATCAGCATGTTGAACTGACTTCTGAATGCCCCTGACTCCTGGAATCCTCACACAATGTCCTCTAAGAATCTTTCACACTGCCCTGCACATTTGCATATTTGTATGGACACAAGTAAAAAATTGCATCGTACATAAGTATAGTTACATAAACATAATTCTGTATTCTATATTATTTGTTATTTTTGTTGTCATTTCGAATTCAAGGAAGTGCTGGGATGCAACAGCATGTGACACATTAATTAATTATTCATGACCCTTGTATTTCTTCCAAAGGCAACAAGACATAATGAGTGTGGAGAGGCATTCGCTGAAGTACCTCAAAGAACATGCCTGAGGGGTCCACATCCTAAACAATTAGGAAGAAGTGAACAGTCCATCAGCCAATGGAGACCCAACACCGCTGAGCTGATGTGGGTGAAGGAAAATGGTCAGGAGTGACAGCAAGAAAGAAAAGGAAGAGAAGGTAGGACAGAGGGGAAGGCGCAGGGGAAGGAGGAGTGAGGGAGCAGGCAGAGGCTTGGTCCCACCTACAATAGAGAGCATGAGAGAGCCCAGAACGTCCCGCAGTGAAGCCCCGGAGATGGGCGGGATCGGCGACACCACGCCCTGGAACCAAGGTAACCCACACTGACTATAACTATAGCTATACACACATGTTCAGTAAAGTACAGACAGCTGCACACTCATACATATGTTACTAACACAGTGGCACTAAACACTCAATCTGCTGCATCACAGTGAATGTCATCGACAAAACGGAAGTTCCTCCTTCTTTTACCGAGCTGTAGTGAGGTTTAGTGCCACTGTGCCATGATTCTGACCCCATTCTGGTTGTTCACGGCATCTTACTTGCAGTAGTTTAATGTGTCAGTTTATGTAAATCAAATCTCTGTGGTTGTATGGTTACAGTTTAGCCTTTAATAGATGCCAGTGAACAAGCTTTAAGTGTGTAGCCCTCGATCTGATTCAACACAACTCAGATGTTACCATGGTCAAAGCCTCGACGAAAGAGATCTCCGTCTCAAGTACATCCTATAAACACAAATGGGTTTTGTCTTTGAACATCCAGAGGTCATTTGTTCATGTCAGAAGTTCCACGTGTTATATAATAATACTGGAAGAGGTTCTGATCCCATGTGGCCCTATACATTTCTACCAAACATAATATGACAACTGTCCAGCTGAATATCATGCAAATCATCTCATTAACCTGTGTTTATAAGTCAACACTTGTGTTTGAATGTCACATGTGAAAGCAGGTGAAAACACAATATAATGGATGATTACTGATGAGCCAAACTGTAGCAGAATCTAATGAGTTCATCTTTATAGGGGTGTAATCACAACATTTTCCCACATGCTGCTCTTGAGTTAGAATCTAAACAGACACAAAGGCCTCTTGTTTCATGGTGGTGTGATAAAGCCAGCAAGGTAGGGCTACTAAAGAGTGATGACCTCTTCCATCCATCTCAGCTACTGAAATCATGTGAAATCAGTTTATCGACTAGAGTCCAATGTCAGATTATCAGCATACATGTGAGCAGCATGTAAATGGGTACCTTTTTTAAAATGTTTTGTTGTAAGTCTTAGATCATTGCACCTACAATGTTCTTCTTTGTAATGGATAATTACATGAATTGGTATAATTTGGCTGTCAGGAGTATAGTTGGTTACTTGACGATTATTACCAGGCAGGGCAGCATGTAATGGACAGTGTTGTGAACAGGTGGCTGCAGCACTAAGACACACACAGTGCAACATTTGAACTCGATGTATAAGCAAAGGTGCATAGAATGAGTGCACACAGCACACTGACAGATCTGTGGGGACTCATAAAAGTACAGTACAGTATCCTTGAACGTTTTCTTATAAAACACCTGACACCTGACCAGACAGTCTATTGACCTTCTATCATTATGCAAACATTATCTTATTATTGGCAGAACATATCAAGAGATCACATACCGATGTTTTGATAGAAGCCAGAGATTTAAGTTTCTGCAGGAGTTGCTGGCTCTGGAGGAGAGAAATAAAGGTACAATGTAAAGAATGTGCATGATGATGTACCTAAGTTAATTTCAAGAGATTTTATTAAAATGCAACAATAGCATAGATTGCTAAATACAGAAGGTTGGCACATGTTTTGATCTCTGCAAAGGCACAACAGGACCATATCTGTGCCGGTTTGTTATTCACGAACAGTTCCCAACCGACATGTTGTGTTTAATTTGTTTATTCTGTACACAAGCAGAAATGTAAAAGTGACCATCTGAGGTTCAGGGGATTTTAAGTGATGCTCACCAGAGTAGTGGCGTGCTTGATCTTCTGGACGATTCCATTGTGACCAAGATACTGCAGGGAGAGCCAGAGAGGCAGCGCTCGCAGCTTCTCCACAGGTTGGCTGGAGGTCAAACCTGCTGCCAAAGACTGAGGGACAAAACACAAACACACAGCAGTGAGTCAGTCAGAGAAAGACAAACACAACAATTACAGGCTGAACAAAATGCACTAATAAGAATACAAAAAGAAATAATCTAGTTCAAGTTAACATTTATTCTTCCTCATATGATAACAGAGTCAAACTGCAGGTTAAAAATGCCGCCAGATCATTTTGATAGTTCGATTTTTTAAATTTCCCCATATGCCCCATGCACTGACACAGCAAAGGTGGTGAGCTCTGCCATGGTAACCACAGTCAAAGAATCACTTCCTGTTTGGCAATTTGTCTTCAAGGTAAAAGCATAACATGAATTTAGTTACTGCAATACTTTATACAGAGTGGAATGGTAGAGCTTTTATTTTAAAAAGTTGGGAATTTGGGTATGAAATAGCCATGCAATGTATGAAAAATGACAGCATTTAACTTAATCATTTAAAATTATATATAAACCACACACCTCTACCATTATTAAGCAAATTATGTTTCATTTAATAAAAATCAACGACTATAAAATCTTCACTGCATGTAAACCACGTTGGATGAAAATAATGTTTCCTATCTCTGTGCACAATGTCACAAACAGAAAATTGTTGGCCTACCAGAGCTGGGTCCTCATGCCTGTAGAGGGTGACAGCGGATATAGCAGGCAGTCCCAGCCAATGGCCTGGTGTCAGTGTCATACTATCACTTCTGGTAGCTGCCTGGAGGGGGAAGAACAATATGTTTCAAGACAAAGTAAACATAAAATGGCATTTCCCGTCTGACTTCCTAAGGTGAGACCATAGCACTTAGTGGGATGACAGATGTGGACAATGGAGACTAACATTGTTGACTACTTTTTCTCGTCTGTCTCTCTCCTACAGGTAATGAAACTGTGCACATGTGATCAAGGGTATTTTTAAAAGGAGAGTTCACAGAAAATGAAATTCACTCTGAAGTGTTTGAGTCCACAAAACACTGAAGTTTCAGGGGTAAACAGTGTTGCAGCAGAATCCAATACAATTGAATTTAATGGTGACCTAGACTTCAGACATAATAAAACAACAGAAAAAACACAACATGCCTCCATACTGCTCGTGCGGTGTCATCAAAGTGTCCGCAAGTCCCGACATTTATATCTGACTCGTGTGTTAAGCCTAAATGTCCTCTGATATCTTCCTATGAGGTGCATTCACGGACACACCATCATGTCTTGGACTTTTAAGATTAAAACACAGTGTAAATGACCTTGTTTCCAGTCAAATAAAAATTATGGGCTTGCAGACACTTGGATGACACCACACGAGCAGTATGGAGGCATGTGGTGTTTATTCTGTTGCTTTAGATCTGAAGTCTACGTCACCATTGACTTCAGTTCTATTGGATTCTGCTACAACAAAGTTTACCCCTGAGACTCCAGAAGAGTTTTATGGACTCAAATACTTCACCCACCCCTTCATGGGCATAGTGGTGAGAAGATAATGAATGAATTGTCATTCTTTGGTGAACTATCCCTTCTAGCATAGAATATCCCTTTGGGGTTTTGATTCCCAACTACATAACTATTCTTTTATTACACTGCACTGAGTAATACTTAGGAGGGAATCTCCAGATGATTAAAATTTAGAGCTGATCAGTCTTGAGGGGGCAGTGGGGATGACCCATGCACACAGTATGCACCTACAGAGCAGGGTCGATGTTGGATTGAGGTTTGTCTGCTGGCTGAGGGCAGAAATTTCACAGTGACAACTAAAGCCATAGTTGCCTCTGCTCTGCTGTCACACTGTCCCTCTCACGCTCTTGATTTCTCACCTATGATGAGCATAAAACTTTCAGTAGACAGACAAAGGTAGCATTGCCTGCTTGGGTTATATAGACAATGCATGCAGGGTATGCACCACCCCACAAATGCTTTTCATTGCTTTATTCAAACATAGCAATCAAAGAAATGATACAAAGGATTTGAACACTTATTTTGATGCAATGACATAGTTTGGTTTATTTTTTCTGTTCTAATCTGTAGTAATTCACAGTAGCCTTGAGCGAGTCCTAACCATTCAATTCAGACAAAGTCATGTGCATGAACTAATCCCTTGGGTAATGTAAACTTTTTCACCCAAAACATAGATGATGGTATTTAAACATGATTACCATCACAGCAGAGGTGACCTGACCCAGTGCCAGGGTTGCCAGGTTGACCCTGAAGAAAAAGCAAAAAATATATAACAACATAACTAGTGACTCATGCCTTAAAACATCAAAGTTCTTATTTGGATTAAAAAAAATTAACTTTCATCCTCAACATTTCATCAAATCCTGTTGAACGTCTCTCATTACACACATACACAAATATATTTACTGTATGTATATATGAGCCCCATCTCAGTTGTTGTATCCACAATCACATTCTTCACTACCCAAAGCTCATGACCATACATGAAAGTTGGAATAAATCAATTACTAAATCAAAAGCTTTTCCTTCTGCCCCAGCTCCTTCTTCACCACACTGCTACTGCAGCACAGAGCCACCTGTCCATCCTCCTCTTACTAGTGAACACAACTCCTTTACAAATTGTAAATATTTTATTGTACAAATTGCACAATCCTTTTTTTACAACTTTTTACACAATCTCTTCTCTAGTACATTTATTAAAAAAATGTTTTGTATTTTTATATATCTTTTATATTTATGCTTGCACAAAACACATCAAAGCAAATTCCTTATATGTGTAATCCTGTTTGGCAATTAATCCCGATTCTGCTTCTGCTTCAGCTAAACTAAGCAAACTGTAATTTGTCTCCAGCTTTGTTCTTAACAACTGATACTGATCTGACAGTTCACTCTCTGCAAACAGCAAACAAGCACATTCTGGGAAAAGTTGAACTACTTCTTTCAGACAAACTATTGTAGAAGAAGAAAATGGACTCACCCCTCCACATGAAGCCACATGTTGTACTGGTCACACAAGTCCTTCAGACGGCCCAGCTTGTCTGTGTGGCCGGCCCCAGGGGTGCCTGGGAAATAAACACATATACAACTTACTCCTCTAAAGTCCAAATGAACATATTTACACTGCAGAAAAGCTGATTATCTGCTGTTAAATGAATATTGCTGATATTGTAATACATGCATACAGATTGCAAAGTTAAAGGACTGATTGTCTTTCACCTGCATTGGCAATCAACAGCAAGGGAAGCTTTCCAGCGTCTATGTCCTCTTTGATGAGTTTGTCCAACAGGGCAACATCCTGACAGTGACAAACAGGTTATCATTTTCATTTTAACCATCTCACCTACATCTGGATATGTGTCTTTTTGTACTCTCCTACCATTTGGTGTTGGGAGCCAAAGATGGTGTTGCATGGGACTGTGCACAAACTGGACAGAGGCAGGCCGAGCTGTCGACACAGACACTGACATTAAAATCTCTTTCTATTACGTATGCAGAAAAATAATACAATAAAATAGATTTGACTACAATGGGTTCCAGATTTTACCCCACTGTGTATCAGTCACACAGTAATCACACTGCCTCCAGGTACTTTAAGAAGCCCTGAATGAGAATGCTTGTTTTTAAATCCCTCTTTGTAAGAGATGTGAATATTCACAATGGTAGTAGAAGAGTTGTTCTGTGTGTGCCTTTGTGTTTCATCTTTCCTACCTGGCTGCACAGGTGCTGTCCCAGACCAGGCCTGCAGGAAGCACTCTGGTAGATGACGGGCTGTTTGGAGGTGAGAACTGCATAACCTTCAGAGGCATATTCTTCATAGCGGTCATTGATGACCAGCCGGCACACTTTGACTAGGCCATCTCTGTCATCCTCATGGAAGCAGGCCGAACCATTCTCATACCTAAGAGACAGATTCCATTGATGTGGAGGAAAATACAAAGAATGAGACCTTAACCAAGATCCACCAATGTGTAGAGTTGTTCCGACTTATTACAAGGAAAACTAGAAAGGCGCATGGGGAACACGTACCTCGGCCAAGGCTTAAACCCTATCTCACCATGTTAAAGAAAGAGAAAGAAGATTCCCAGCTCAACCCATTTGTAACAGATCTGAATAGATGGGCGGATCAGGAGTTTTTTCACTTTCTTTAACATGGTGAGATTGGGTATTAGCCTTAGCCTGAGCATGCATCTTGTTCTGAATTATTTATAGTAATCAATCAAAATGAAAATTATTTTTTATCATCCCTTCTACTCTGTAGCCAAGAATGAATGTCTATGTATATCACAGCACCTCGACTTTATCTAAGCCAGAAGTGCACCTTATACATTTTTGGTAATTGTCTGTAGTAGTAATCAGTAGTTTTGTTGCTTAATCTACTACTGTTTTTGTATTTTTAATGGGTTCATTTACTTTTTAACTTTTTGATTTAAATTGTATATTATTATACAATTGATTGTTGGTTTGCACATGTCCATCATGATAGTAATACAGTTGAAATCAGAATAGACAATAATGAAATCTACTTAAAGCTTAAAACACACCACACAGGTAAAGAATAAATTATAGCTGCACAATACTGCCACAGTCAATAACTGTGCAACTCAAGCCATGAGAAAAACAAAGACTCACTGAAGTCATTGTTGAAATACAGTTGTGTTTGTTGTAGGTTTATTATCAGGAAGCTGAGAGTATACTGGCATCTACAGCAAATACACACTGGCAAACCCTCCATTGCCTAAGTGCTCATCAGTCTGAGACTTTAAAGAGCTGGTGTTACTGGCTGTGATAAAAAGCTACTGAGCTCACACTGGTATTCGCTGTGTAACCATCATGTCACCAACACATACAGAAGGGAATTCTACAGACCATAAGCTGAACTGCAAGGCTGTTGCCACAGTGGTACCTGAAAAGTCTGCAGAGCCAGAGTGTGGTGTCCGACAGGATCCGAGTAGTCAGCTTCCGCAGTCGCTCTCTGTCCAAAACTGAGATGTAGGCTGCCAGGCTGTGACCCAGCAGCGCCATGTGACCCTGTTCACCCACATTCTGCATCCTACTGGAGACAACAAATGGCAGCTTTGTCATGCACTTTATACTAATACTGCCTTTACACTTTCTACTGCCTCTGTTTATCTATTTGCATGTTGCAGTGTGTGTAGAGCTCTCATAATTTACATGCAAAGCTAATGTCACACAGCACAGACTGTTCTACTCACTGTGCTTCTTTTACTTCCTTGTAGCAATAAGGTGTTGTTTCTACAATTAAACATTAACTTTCAACACATCAACTTAACTCATAGTTATAAATAATTCTTTATTGTGAAGAATTTTTCCAGATGAATTTGATTTAGAAAAGAGAAAAGTGACCAAACACAGGTCAGTAACAACAGTAACAACCTGCTGACGGTGCAATGCAGAGTTCAGTATTATGTCTCTACAGCAGCAACAGTTGCAGCCAGAGGTTTAATGTTCTCAGGTTGTCGTCTGTCCCTTGTGGACATGTCATGTCAGGAACGCTGTGAGAACTTTGCTACAGAGGTTCCCTTGGACTCAAGAACTGTGTCTCAGTTCTGGGCCTGCGTCCTTCGGAGGCTGCATTTGAAGATCAATTGCATCTCAGCGGCGTGACTAGACTGTCATAATTCGAAGGCTTGACAAATGTGTCCATCCACTCCTGAGCAATAGAGGCTCCACCAGGAGAATCCTTCCCTGCTCAACTATTTTTTAAGAATAATTTATTTTAACTGTAAGAACTCAACCAAACAGCTAATGGTAAACATGTTAAAAAAAACATTTTTTATTATTCGTCTGTAGCTCTGTTGCTTGGCGACAACTGTAGGGCGGGACAAGCTGGTGATGCAATAAGAAGACCAGACTGTCTCATTTTGATTTGGTCAACGCAATCTACGCGCTGATGAAGGACCATGTCATCCGCAGGATGCGTCCACTAACTTGATTCACTTTGTGATCACAGCACAAAGATCACTGTGACCTCATAACAAATGTTGTTGGCAATAACTTCAAAATGTACATTCTAATTATGACACATGAACATCTGAGTGGTTAAAGGGATGACATTCATATGCAAAAGGTCAAAGACCATCTTCCTTTGTAATGTCATAATGTTCTGCAACACCACTTTATCTGGCAGCATAACTCAAGAACAGAGAGGGAGACTGCTCTTTGACTGGTTGGTGGGGCAAGACAACCACAAGAAGGTAATTCTGGTTTAACTTCTACTTACTGTCGGCTGGGCTGGTCCTCATTCTCTTCCTCTTCATGAAGGAGGTTGTGAACTAAGTGCAGTATAGTGGCAACATCCTGACCACTGCACAGGAGACACAAGGGAATCAATTATCAGCTTTCCAACAAACCATATTAAATGTACTACCAATCAAGTGTATACATGTACTTTTTTTAGTATTTTCAAGCATTACGGAAAAACAATGGAACTGTTTTTATTGAAACTTGGTGGAAGGCTGCGACACAAAAGAAGCTTTTAAACTTTGGCGTGGATCGGGTCAAAGGGGCGGATCCAGGAATCTTGTAACACTTCAATATTGTGAGATTGGGTGTTTTTGACTGATTTCTAATGCAATAATTAAAGCAATTTGGTGCAGGTTGATTGGGCCTTGGCAGAAGTCTGTGCTTTATTGAGTGCCATTCTAGTTCTACTTATAAAAAGGGTGGGGCACTTAGCTTGCATAGTGAGTGTATAGGGCCACCCGGCTCTGTGTATGTTCAATTATTGGCACACCACTGTATAAACACTGTTCTACTGTCGTGTTTTCTTTTGGAGAGAGCAGGTGCCATGCACCAGACTGGAGTGGCTGCTTTTTCATCACCATGTGGACACCTCCCATATGTTTACATGTAAAAAAGAGGAGGTAAAAAAAGTGTATACACGCCCTTGGCCTACGTGAATATTTGCCTTCGTGTCCTTAAGTGTCTCTTTACCCTTCAAATAGCCTACATCTGGATCTAGCTGCCAGGTCCAAGCTGTCACTCCCCCCACCATTAGAATCCCGGCAGGCTTTTCAGGCCTTTTTAATGGTCTCAAGTTTCTCACATTACCAAGTGAACCAGTCAGAGAGCTAGTCTGGCTGTGAATCACTTTAAATTCCATGCTGGCCTGTTTGCTTGTCTGTTTGTGAATGTGTGTATGTGTGTGCATGTGTGTGTGTCTTACTCTCCCTGCAGGGGTCCAGGGATGCTGGTTCTGCTGAAACGTCGGATTTCTGTTCCCGTCTCCAACTCTCTAAACAGATCAACACCACAGACACACGGAGATCTTAAGTACAATCAGACATTATATAATACTGCATTCATGTGCTCCTTAGCTGGAAATTCAACTCAATTGAAGTGAAGTTCTTTTGTTTACATCCGTTATCAAGAAGACTAACAGAAGCAGCATGGTCAAAGTGTGTGAAACACAGAGTCTAAGATCTAAGATTCACAGGTTCATCAGAAAGTCATTTGTGTAACAGTTAATTTCCCTGCTCAGACAGCAGCGTCTTAACTTACCTCTGTCCGTCTCCCAGCAGCCTCATAGCTTCACTCAGATTCTTGCCCACTTGAGCCAGTGTGAAGTCCACCATCATCCAAGGTGTGTGTGTGTGTGTGTGTGTGTGTGTGTGTGTGTGTGTGTGCTAGGAGAGAAGTAAAGAGAGTTTTAGGACAATCATTTAAAAATCAATCAGTTTACACAGTGAATATACACACACATTTAAATCTTTAGAAACACTGGCATTGTATTCACAGCATACATCTAAATGCCCTTCAGGCCTCAGATGAACCCATCCATCTGGACCTTTTCCATTGCATTTAGTTATATGAGATGAAATGAGAAGAGACAAGCAGCAGTAAACTACCTTTTGTCATAAAGACGGTGACAAAGGTTGACAACGCCTTCGTCTAAATACAAAGGTAAAATACACAAGAGTACTTTCTATGCAATAAAAATTAAGAAAAGCTCAAAAGCTTTTTTGTGTGAGTGGGAGTAAAAGGCTAATCTTTCCCTCATAGCAGTTTTATATATATATATATATATATATATATATATAGTGTCTTCAGTTTTCACATCATTGTATGACTAAAGCTGGTCACTGCAAATATTGATTTGATAATGCTCGGTTTCTCTGTTTGTCCAGAACTTTGCTCAGTGTTGTACATGTATATGAACAACACTTCAAATCGTTCTGTGTTTGAGACTGTAATGAGGACCTGGTGTATACAGAATGGCTGTTCTAGTAATGAAACGTTACCTCTTACTTTCAATTCAATTTTATCTGTATAGCGCCAAATTGTCGAGACTCGAGACAGTTCCCAACAGTTCCCACAATGAGCAGCAAAACTCATTAACTGGAAGACAGCTCGAGCAGAGGCTAAAACTTGGTTAACTTCTGTATGTGATATTGTGAATTCATGATGAATCTGTTGCAGTGAGTATGTTCACCAGCAGTTCAGCGTGTTCTACCTTCTGCGTTAATGATGCTTCTATAATACAAGAGAGAATTAAAGTCTCAACTGAAGAAGACATCAGACAAACAGACATAAGCAAAGAACAATTAATTTAAATACAGTTGGCTTCATTGATATTTTATGATGTTCTAAAAAAATCGAATGTTTTTTCATTGTTTGTAAGAGAAGTGGAAAATGTAATCAAAAAAGGGGAAAGAGGGTTGTGAAACTTAAGATTCTATTTATGAATAAATTATTTTCCAAAATATATTTTTTTATCAACATAGTTTCGGAACTTGTTATTTGTTTGTTATTTGACACTGAGATGCTGCCTCACGTATACACTATTTTAGTACTCACAAATTCTCATTTACATGTTTTTCTGTTTAGTGTCAGTGACAAACATAAGCGATTAAGACGACATGTTAAACATGACTCTTTGCCAATAATCAATCAACAGATCTGAAATGTGGATGGATTAGTTTCATTGTAATTTTCAATCTCTCATAATTACAAAGCTCATCTCCTCATTACACTGGAGAATAAAAGCTGAGCAGGTTTCTAAGCTTGATGGACTGGAATTTCGGGCTTTGAGGGAAGAATACAGTGGAGCAAATGGGTGTGGACATTTCATTTGTAAACACATTCACTGCATTGACTTTGGACAGTGGTACAATAACCACTGAGACATGACCTGCTGCTTAAAACTGTCTGAGCCTGCTTAGTGATTGTCCCTAAAGAGAAAGTTCACTGAAAAATGAAAATTCACTCATTATCTACTCACTACTGTGCCGATGGAGGGGTGGGTGAAGTGCTTGAGTGCACAAAACACTTTTTGTGTTTCAGACGACTTCCTCAAAAAACAACAAGAATAAACCATGACATGCCGCCATACTGCTTCTGTGGTGTCATCGAGTGTCTGTAAGCCCAGATATTCAAACGTGACTTGAAAACAGAATCATTCACCCCATGTTTTAAGCGTAAATGTCCTACTGGAAGTACTGGAACTAACAATGCTACGGGTACTCATTGCGAGTTCTGATCTCATCGCACGCACCCTTGGATGAGAGCTTGTGTGCACGTGGCTCCAGGCAGCAGGAAAAACTGGCTAAACGCAGTATAGAGGCTTTATTTTTTTTTTTTATGTTTGAAGAATTAGTCGCCATTTGCGGAAATGGTATCAGCTGCAATGCTGTTTACCCCTGAGACTCCAAAAGTGTTTGTGGACTCAAACACTTCAAACATTCCCTCTTGGTGAGTAGATAATGAGTGAATTGTAATCGTGGGGTAAACTATCCCTTTAAAACCTCTAAAGCCATTTTCAGACATGACTGACAGAAGATGTCCGAACAATTGGGTCCGCACTTTCTCTGGAGCTGGCACTCAGACATGTTCACAACAACAGAAATCTCTGGTCTTATTCTGCTGCAGGGTTTTTGTTTATAGCACATCAACGTCTTTGTGTCTCTGTGTCTTCTACGTTTGTCGCTCTGCTGTTTTATTCTGACATATTTCTACTATTCCTCATTTTTGCATCTGTCACGTGTTAGACACACATCATCAACACGCCCCTCTCTCTCTCTGTGAATTCTGCAGAGGTTTTACTGAGCAGACAATCTCAGCAGAAAGTCCAGAGGCTCTCACTCTGACATTTGTGTTCACACATACAGCCCCTCTGGAGAATGTCCAATCAGTACATGTCTCAAAGGATTTTATTAAACTAATAAAATGAATTAAAGTAAAATGAGGAATATGGATACTTTCTGAAAAGAATATCAAATATATACATGTTTAATGGTTCTGGTTTTGTATTTATATAGATAACCAGTCAAAGGGCAATTCGGGGTTCAGCCTCTTGCCCAAGGACACTTCGATATGCAGATGGGGAAGACAGGGGATTGAACTGCCGACCTTCTGGTTGGGGGACGACCACTCTACCCCACAACGGCTGTGACTGAGGAGTAGAGCGGCCGTCCTCCAACCAGAAGGTAGGCAGTTCATTAAGCATTGGCTAAAACAACCACTCTACCCCTCAGCCACTGTGGCTCAATGTGTTGGCTAAAACAATATTTCTCATTCCACACTTCCCTAATATGTCAGCATAGGGCTGGGCGATAAAAAGATATGGATAATTATTGTGATATAACTTTTCCTCGAAAGAAATTTGAGACATAACATATAACATCGATAGAACTCATAATGAGAATAGCACTGCGCCGAACCAATCGTCCTGTCGGAGCTTCCTCCTCACTCTGACCCCTCTGACCTGCGTTCACTTTAACAATAAACACCAGCACTGATCACAAGTGCTAGGACATGTACAAGAAAAGGAGTGGGCCGTTGAGCTGCATTTTGTTTTTCAACAGATTTGATTCTGTCCCCGCTCCCTCACCCACCCACATGAGCCCAGACCTGTCACTGCAGCCACTACACCCTCCCTCCTCCTTCCCTAGGTCAGCAGGGACATCATCAGTTGCACCCCCCCCTTCCCTCTTCAGGAATTACCCCACACCGTCACCATCCCCATAAAGGCAGATCAGGTGAAAGGGGAGCTGAAGAGGACAAAGACCAGGAAGGCTACAGGCCCTGAGGGCACCTGCTTCAGACCACTCAGGGATTGTGCGGAGCAGCTCTGTGGTGGTACTGCACGTCTTCAACAGAGTCTCAGTCTGGAGTGAGAGCCCCAACCTTGTGGAAAACCTCCTGCGTGGTCCCGGTACCAAAGACGGTTCACCCCAAGGAGTCAAAGCACTTCAGGCCGGTGGGACCATGGACAGGATTATACTCAAGCACCTCCACTCCCTGGTGAGCACTGAGCCAGAACCCCTACAGTGCACAGGCATTGGTGTGAAAGACGCTGTCATCTACCTCCTGCAAAGATCCCTAGAGCACCTGGAGAACACTGGGAGCTCTGTGTTTCCTGACTTCTGTAGTCCTTTCAACACAATTCAGCCATCCTTACTCAGGGGACAGCTGGACAGAGCTGGAGTGGACTGCCACCTGGGTACAGGGAACATCGACTACCTCACCAAAGCTGCTTTCAGACATGCACTGAACTCCGAAGCTCCTCCATATTCTCTCTGGAGGAGGCGCATGTGTGAAGGCAAATGTCCGAGTGAGATGCCCTGTAGCTACACACAGCTACACACAGCTGACTGAGCTCTCTCTCTTTCTTTCTCTCTCTCTCTCACACACACACACACACAC